AGGGGTGCATAAGCCTCTTTGGATTGTTGATTTCAGGTTCATTGGATAGATTCCCAGTAATGGGATGGCTGGGTCATAGGGCATCTCTATTTTTAAGTCTTTGAGGCCTCATAGCATTTGAAGCAGTTAATGCATGCTTACTTTTGATTGTGTAAAAATGTCTGTCTTAGCTGGTAGTTTAAATAAAAATATTTTCCAATGGCTGGGAGTTGTTATTAGATTTGAATTTGTCAGCAACTAGAAGGATGTGCAGCTATGACATACAACTATCTACTGGGGCTTTGGGGAAAAACAAATAAATAAATAAATAAATAAAAGATTTGAATTTGTCTGAAGAGTTGGTTGGGTGAAGTAAAAAATATTTTAAAATAAGGTGATACCGTTAAAATATTTCAAATCTTTGAAACTTTCTGAGGATACGTGGACTTTAAAACATCAGTATTAATGTTCTTTTTTCCCATTAGGTACCTGTATTATTGCGTACTGGCGATATGGTTCATGGCTGGGGGCAATCAGCTGTCCAATCTGTAGACAAACGGTAATGTTTGTATCCAGAAAGCATCATTTATGCTAGTTCATTTTGTAAATTTTTATACTTTTGTGTCTAACTTTTGAATTATTTTGATATTTTCACCAGAACTTCATTTATCCAAAGCTTCTATGATGTTACTCCATTATTTTTTTTTAAATGTCTTTAAGACACCTCAAAAAAAGGGAATTCCCTTTGAAATCCTTCAGTTGTAGTAAAAAACAACCGGTAAAGGACTCCTCCCCCAAATCCCAGTTAAGTCTTTGTTGTAATACCAGCAGAGGAATCACTGAACTTAATCACACTTAAGCAAATATCCCCTACATATACTTCTTTTGAAAAAAATTGTTTTTCCTTTTTAATTTATTTTAATTGATTTTGTTTTATTTTTTTTTTTTTTGGTGAGGAAGACTGGCCCTAAACTAACAGCTGTTGCCAATCTTCCTCTTTTTGCTTGAGGAAGATTGTCCCTGAGCTAATTTCTGTGCCAGTCTTCCTCTATTTTGTATGTGGGTCACTGCCTCTGGCTTGATGAGTGGTGTGTAGGTCTGCGCCTGGGATCCGAACCCGTGAACCCCGGGCCGCCAAAGTGGAACGTGCAAACTTAACCACTATGCCACCAGGCCGGCCCCTTTAATTTATTTTTAATCTGCCCTTCTCCAGTGAGGGTCCAGATAGCTTTAAATGATGAATAATGATTTTTTTAAATGTCCCTTTTGGAGACATAATCACATTGCATTATCCAGGACAGATTAGACTATTGTAGTTGGTGTAGAGGCTACCTCAGGAGGGAGGCAGTAAGTTTTATAAATATATATTGAAGACTGAAATGTCAGCACAGATGAGATGTGCCAAATTTTCTCAATTTCTTTGACAAACTGGAAAAATAAAATACTGAAAAACCTGAGGAGCTGAAGTTCTTAGTTTTTTAATTAGTAAATTTAGCAAAATAGGACATTCTATCAGTTGTATACAGTTTTTCATAATTTATTTTATACTTATTTTATTTTTCATTTAAAAATATATACCTTTCTGATAACAAGTTATGAACTCGTAAAAAGACAGCATTTCCTTAGGAAGTCTTCAGTGTGCAAAGTGAAGTTCTGCAAAGGACAGAGAACTTCCAGGTAAAGACATCAAGCTGAATGCGTATATCTTCTTGTGCTCCCTCTCACAACCCCACTGAAACAACAGTAAAGGACATTTTATGAAGGCATAACCCACAGAGAGCAAAAAATAAAATAAAATGATAGAAGAGGTGATCATTTTTCAAAAATTCTTTGTAAAATATAACAGACATACAGAAAAGCACACAAAACAAAGTACAGCTCACTGAGTTATCACAAAGCAGCACTTGAGTGTCAATACTCAGATGAAGACACAAAAGCTGGCCAATAGCCCCAGATCCTCCCAGGACCTTCCCAACCTCCACCCTGCTCCCTCTCTGAGAGGTAATGGCTGTCTGACTTGTATGATGAGTATTTCCTTGATTCCCTTTATAGTTTCATGATCTTAGCTTGCACCTCTAAGATTATTGTTTAGTTTTGCCTGATTTTTGGAATTTATATAAACAAAACCATATAGGAGGTATCGTTAAACATATATACACATGTGTGCACATACACACACACACACACACACACACACGTATATATACCTTTCAGCCTTTGTTCTGGCTATCCACTTCCCCCCACCACTGCTTTCTTTTTTGATACAGAGAGGGAAGTTCAGGTCTTTCTCTTCTTTCTTTCTTGCTTCTAGATTTCCAAATTTGGCCTCTTTCACATTTGACTTTTTATTGCATGGTCAGGAGGAAAATTGATTTTTTTTTATACTGCCTCTCTGCTGATTTGATGTGTGACACTAGGCAGTCAGCACTGAAGCTTATTTGCCAATAGCACCTCTTATCATCTTAAGCTATTGGCCAGCATCACTGAGACAGGCCATAGGTCTTACATTAAAGAATTAGTTCCGCCACCTATCTCTTCTTGGCTCTACCAAGGCTTTTCATAGGGCATATATATAGAGAGTAGCTTATGGTGTCCTTTGGACCACCCATAAATTGGCTAGAGGCTAGAAAGGTGGAGATACAGTTGTTTTAATGTAATAGCTTTTGGTTCCTTGACTGTAGAGTAATTTATCCTGGAGGCAAGACAAGTGGCAGGTCCCTGCTCCACCTCCGGTTTCACTGGAAATCATAATGCACAGGCTGCGGCCTCTGACTGGAGCACACTCACCACTTCTCTCCTGAATGCATACACTAACACACCAATGGGCCTACCTGCATTTCAAGGGCTAGCTTAAGTTTCAAGCTTTCTGGACACCCCAGGCAGAAGAAGTCCTTACTCTCAAGCATCAGTACAGTCATGTGCCACATAACAACGTTTGGTCAATGATTGACGGCATACATGACGGTAGTCCCATAAGATTAGTACCATAGAGCCTAGGTGTGTAGTAGGCTAGACCATCTAGGTTTGTGTGAGTACACCCTGTGATGTTCACACAATGACGAAATCGCATAATGATGCCTTTCCCAGAACACAGCCCCGTCATTAAGGACAGATGACTGTACAACACCTACCACTGGGCCTTAGAACAGGCTTTTGAACAGGTCTGCCTCCCCTTCTGTCTTGGGTATTATGACCACCAAGGGGCAAGGCCGTGTCTTCATTTTTTGTATATCTAGCACTCAGCGTGGTCCCTGGCCCACAGGAGGTGCTCAATTAGTATTTATTAGGAGAATGCATTTTTATTAACAAATTTGTTAAGAGATGGCTGCACCTGCTCTTTCTGCCACCTGCTGCTCTTAGTCACTCCTCTTTGGAGCTGTGCGGAAAGCGTCTGAGCAGTGGGCGGCCCTGGTTTTACAGCTGAATGGAGGAACGATAAAAACAGCTAGATGACTTAAACCTGAATCTGTCACTACTCCTTCCCGTTTTATCTCATTGTAGAGCTCATCAGTGACCCTTTTCTGTAGTGGCTGTTGTAGTTTAAAATGTGCATGTCTTTCGAGGTCCTGTCATCTCCTGATTACCTGTGTGTGGTCCTGGGGGACCTGTGTTCCCCCTTACCTCTGCCACAGGAGAAACCGGGGACGTCTTAGGTTAGACGTACAACAGTATCGAGAGGGACCTCTGTGGCTGTGGTAGCGACGGGTGCCTGAGAGCCAGTCCCTGCAGGAACTTGACCGCTGTGTCGTGGGTGGTAGCTTTCAAAGGTATTTCAAATACCAGTGAGGGTAAGGACTCATGATTGTGATACCAAAAAAGAAATCCCTAATTTTTCTCTCTCAAACTGATAGGTATATATTTTTATGTCACTTTGCTCCTGAATGTTTTCATCATTCCGATATCTTCAAATATGTGTTAGCCCATACAGAGAACTACTGACTTTATCCCTGGTGTGGACTGGAAAATATTAGAACCAGTGTTTGGATAAGGTACCATTTTATTTCATAGGATTTCAAATTACATTTTTCGTCGGATTTTATTGTAATGCAATAATAACTTACTCCCCCTCGTGTTGCCTTTATTAAAAGAAATGAATGAAAACATAAATTCAGAAGCTTTTCTCATTCTATTGAATAATAATACAAAATGACAAAATTAATGCTGCAGAGAGGTGTAACAATTTTTTTCTGTAACATACAGGTAACTTTACTGCTAACAGTATTTGGTGAAGATGACCAGTCTCAGGATGTCACACCATTGCATCAAGATATTAATGATTATAACCGGAGATTCTCAGGGCAGCCCAGATCTGTAAGTAATGTTAAAGCAGGTGCAAAGTTAGAGTATAATGATACTTCTCTTTTGTAAAGTGAGATTTAACCAACAAATGTTCTTCGACTATGAAAAATCTCTTGGTTATGCATGTCAGGTCAAGTTTTTACCTTCATCATTGTTGTCATTCATTGAATCACAGCTTTCCCAAAGACTACAGTTTTCTCTCTTAAAAAAAAAAAAAGACATTACGTAAGTCTTTATGAAATACCAGCAAAACAGCAATAGGAAAAACTGGAAGGAAATGTAAAATTATCGACTCCTATGTGATTCTAAAATAGGGTTTGTCTTATGAGAAAACTTACAACTGAGAACTTCTGGAGAGTTTTACAATTGTGATTTACTCTGTTTTGTTTACCCCAGCCACCTGTTTGAAATGTTCCCTTAAGTAACACTAGGTTTTGGAGGTTTTTTTCTATGTCATCTTAGCTATTCAAAAGCATTCTATTTTTAAAGAACATATTGATTCTACAGTTGACCTCCCCCCAAAAAAGGCATTTGATAAATTAAAAACTGTCACATTTTCCTGACTCATTCCAGTTTTCTGAAAATCTAACAAAGAATTCTAGCACTGTGTGTATGACTGACTATGTACTTCAAAAACCGGAATTTACTAAGTGCAAATTTATGGGGAAAGCCCCGACTTTGGTGTCCAGCTGCTTAGCTGACGTCTCTACTTGGGTATTCCATAGGCATCTCAAACTTAACATGCATAATATTGAACTGATTCCCTCCTTAACTCAGGTACGTCTCTTCTCAGCCTTACTCAGTTCAGCTTTAGTTTCCTCCTCTCCCTCATCTGATCTATAAATAAGTTGTATCATTTCTTTTCTCTTTTTTGTGGATCCTGTCATTTTTACCTCATAAAAACGTCCTGCGCCAGTCGCCATCATGCCAGTCCAAGCCACCACCAACTCTTGCTTGGGACAGCTGCAGTGGCCTCTTCACTTGGATGTTTTTCTCCGCACAGCAGCCCGAGTAATATTTTGAAAACATAAGTCAGACCATGAGGCTCTTGTGTTTTAAAACTTCCACATTGGAATAATGTTCCAACTCCTTACTTGTGGCTTACAAGGCCCCGCGTGACCCAGCGCCTCCCTCACTCCCTCACGCCTTGGGCCACTCTCCCCTCAGCCAGTGCACTTCAGCTACACGGGCCTCCTTTCAGCTCTCAGAATGCAATCCCAGTCTGTCCACCTTAACGCCTTCACACAAGCCATTTCCTCTGCTTGGAGTGCTTGTCCCTCTGCTCTTCTCATGGCTGACTTCTCATCCTCTAGGTCATTCTTAAGCAGACCTTCCTCAGAAGGGCTTTCCCTGATCAACTGAGGTATTCTCTAGTATTGCCCTCTGTACCTTTCCTTCATGGCTTTTGTCACAAACAGTACTCAAGTCTCCTTCATTAGTTTTCTCTCAGTAGAGTAGAAGCTTCCTGAGGGCAAGGACTGGGTTTATTTACTCACTACTATAGTCTCATAGCCAAATTTAGTGCCTGGGATACAGTAGGCCCTTAATGTTTGTTGAATGAATTCATGAGTTATCCTTAAGATAAAAACTGATACTACTACTCCCAGGCAAGAACACAGGCTATTAAAATGCTCAGTGTTAACCCCCTGTGTGCTCTTGTGCTCGCTTGCACGTACTGCTTGTTCTGGGATGTCCTGTACATCAAGGGGCATACGGTTTCACCTGTTGTGGATAATAATGGGTAACTCTTTTAGATGTTTAAGCAACAAGAAAAACAATCCAGTCACTGTTGTCCTCCATAGTTATTTGGGAGCCTCTTCTGCTATTTTCCTCCAGCAATTTTTTTACGTATCTTCTAATGACATCTATAGGATGATTCTTTGAAAATTAACATGTTTCAAATTCAAGAACTACCACTGAACTTAAAAAAATCATTTTAAGATATTCATTCTTATTTTTGTGTGAAGCATACCATTGCTCAATTACTATTTATTGCAGGTGTCAGATAGATATTTAATGGGTAGGAAAGCTGGTATGTGATGAAATTACAATATAATGAAGACATTTAGCTCTTACTTTGGTATTCTACCTCATTCAAAGTTGAAGTAAGATTATGATTAATATACAAACATTCTTAATAACCCATTTCATATTTCTTGTCTAATTATTACAGATTTTATATAAATGATACCATATGAGAAGTGAACAAAATAGCTCTGATAAAGGACAGAAAAGTATTCAAAAAACATACTGGCTGGTCATTAGTAATATTTAAAGCAGTTTACCAGAGACCTTGTGAAAGCTGTATAGCTGTTTTGCTTTAAATATTCGTTTCTTCTATAAAGAATAGAAAACATAGGAAGTGATTCTAAAAAGCCCATTTTTGTTCTTTTGTGACCAATTTTCCAAAGAGTTACAAGATTTTCTTTATCTGGTGGAGTTTTAAAACTGTTTTCTCATCACTTGCTCAATTCTTCCCATTTTTGTCTCCAACTCCCTCTCAACTTATTTGGCACTTGTTAAATAAAATATAGACATAGAATTGGATTTATGATATTTATACATATGGTTAAAAATAGCTGAACTGTGGGCAGTGGAATGACCACAGGAAGTGATTTACTTCCTCTGGTCAGTTTCCCTTGCATCTACCAACCCCTGAGAAATGAGATAATGAAAGAAGTCATGTTGAGGAGTCACCGTAGTTCGTTACTACACAGGACCTTAGCTCCTGTTGTCAACAGCTACAGAACAAATGAGCAGTGTACAGACAGAGAACAAACTGACTTGCTCAAGATCATACAGATAGATATTGGTACTCTCTCTTTTTTTTTAACAGCTTTGTTTAGATGTAATTTACATGCCATAAAGTGCACCTGTTTAAAGTGTACAATTCAATGGTTTTTAGTAAATTTACAGAGTAGATATAATCTAATTATCACCATAATCTTAATTTTAGAATATTTTCATCATCCCCAAAGCTTTAGCAGTTCCTTCCCCTTCTCCCCTCTACCTTACCCTCTCCCTAGTTCTTTGCAACCACTAATCTACGTTTTCTATCTCTATAGATTTGGCTATTCTGGATATTTCATCATTTCATTTAAATGGGATATTATAATATATGGCCTTTTGTCTCTGGCTTATTTCACTTAGCATAATGTTTTCAGAGTTCATCCATGTTGCAGCATATCTCAGTACTTCATTGCTTTTTATGGCCAAATAATATATCACATTTTGTTTATCCATTTATCAGTTGATGGACATTTGAATTATTTCCATTTTTTGGCTATTATGAATAATGCTGCCATTAACATTCGTTTACCAGTTTTTGTGTGGACACAGTTTTTATTCCTCTTGGGTATAAGCCTCATTGTGGAATTGCTGGATATTGTGATAACTTTATGTATAATATTTTGAGGAACTGCCAAACTGTTTCCTGTTTCCAAAGGGGCCATACATTCCCACCAACAGTGTATGAGGGTTCCAATTTCTCCACATCCTTCAATTGTTAAAATTTTATGTAATTTGTTACATTTCAGCTGTGAAAATTAGGCTCATTTATGTAAAAACCTAGTGATTGATGTGTTTCTCTACATATTCAGAAACAATCATTTGCAGCAAAGTAGGGCCTGGCATTCCAAAAATCTTTGTGGCAATTAGTAATTCGCTTAAACTCAAACTAAACAGAATAAACATCCTAAGAAGGAATCAGTTTCATTGCTATTCTTAGACTATCAAAGCCATCAAAATTGATGTATTTAATATATACTACTTATATGTTGTCTGGCAGTTTATAAAAGTCTTTTATATACACTGTCTCTTTTAGTTCTTAATAGTGCTCATGGCACATGAATACTCAATTAGTCGTTGACTTATCTTTAGTAGGTTAAACAACTTTCCCTAAGGTCACTTGGCTAATAAGTGATTGACTTTGAATTCAAACCCATGTCTGTCTGATTTAAAGCTGAGACTTGAGCTCAAGCCTCAGACTCTAATCCTACACACTAGGTCCTTCATTTGGTTTATTCTACTAACTCAGATTAGAGAGAACTTGAGTTCTGCGTTACTATAGCCTATATTTTAGGTTTGTTGACATTTTAGTTGCTTTTCAGTTATCTGCAATGACCTATTTTATAAGAACCTAGTAATCAAAGAACTGTTTTTAAATAACATGCATAACTAGAAAATATGGCGTTCAGTCAGTATGTGAAACTCCTTAATTCACGTTAACTGAATTTGTCTGCACGTTGTAAGAAAATTATATTATTTTGAAGTCTGACACATTAGATGCCAAATCACAATATTTGTTCTTCCCTTACCAGATTATGGAGAGAATTCTGGATCTACCCACTTTACTGAGGCATGCATTCAGGGAAATGTTTTCAGTTGGGGGCCTGTTCTGGATGTTCCGTATCAGGATAATACTTTGTTTAATGGGAGCTTTTTTCTATCTTATATCACCTCTAGATTTTGTACCTGAGGCCTTGTTTGGGATTCTAGGCTTCCTAGATGATTTCTTTGTCATCTTTTTGTTGCTTATCTACATCTCTATTATGTACCGAGAAGTGATTACACAGAGACTGAACAGATGAAAAAAAAATGAGTTTACTAAAGTATTTGAGCTAATGTGTGAAATCAGACAAAAGGACCCATGGCAGTGTAAAGCATCTGAACATTATCTTACAAGCTTAAAACCACTGTATTACAACAAACATTTGATTATCATTTGGCAAATGCCTAGCAGTATATGACTGGAATTTTTACATGTTGCAGATTCTAATATTAAGGTTAGAATTATAATAATTTACAACTGTATCTTGATTCTGTGTTTTCTATAAGGTCTCTGGAAAAAATATGGAATTATATAAAAAGGGATGCTTTTAGATCTTTTTCTTTTCCCCAAAATTACTCAGATTAATTGGATGTATAGTAAGATATTGTTAAAAGTACAGTTTATCCAATTTGTCCTTCTCAGTGAGTACGTATATGATAATATATTGCTATAAAACTCATCTAAATATTTTTGTTACAATAAAATATTGTATAATATTGGGGAAAAGTCATTGTATTTTTTAGTACTAGCTAAGTTTTGTGCATTTGGAGCTGTTCTGCTTTTCCATTCTGATGTAATTCTCTATTATCAGCTGAAAGTGAAAGAAGGAACTTGAACTGTATAATTTGATTTCATATCTGGTTTACAGAACACTTCTTAATTAATAGAAGAATTAACAAGATGTAAGACATTTATCTCCATTCAGCACACTTGATGGTCTCAGTTATGACATTTAAACAAGAGTTTGGTCCTTTTATAGGAATAGTATATAAAAGTAACTTATAAAGGGTAATTTTTTCAGGACTCCTGGGTAATACTGCAAACACATAGTAGTTTGATGCATTTCTGAGGAAAGTGGATCTTCATGGCTGTGAGCATCAAAGACCTTAGGAGGATACTAAGAACACTATTTAAATTTGACAAGAGAAATGACTGGTGAGCTATAGCAACAGAATGGATAAATGTGGTTAGTTTTCTCTTGTCAGAAAACTTTTGTAATATTGTCCCTAGATGGCAGCATATCGCCCAGATACATCCGTCTCATGCAGAATGAGCAAATGCTGTCTGTGATTCAGTAAGAAAGTTATCTTGGTTTTTTGATGGCTACAGCATAAGTATCTAATGCTCTCTACTGCAGTTTTCTGTTTGAGAAGAATTAAAACCGCAAGTATTACGAAATCCTAACTCCCTCAGTGGCACTGCTCGTTAGTGAACTGGACAGCAGGGTGGTCGTTGATGCCCAAGGCTAGCGTTCGCTCTGTCACCTGTAATCACTCATGGTCGCACTGTCCATTCATGTATTAGTGATCTTCACTATGAACAGATAGGGAGAAAAAGAGCAAGTCTGTCATATGCTCCCAAATTAATCAGATTAGCCATTAACTAACGAGATGCTGAATGAAATATCAATAGTGTTTTCTAATTTGGGCCTAGGACAAAGCTGTTGCTTGTCATAGAGAAAAACTATAATGCTTAAATATAGCACATTAGAATTAAAGCAATTTCTCACATAATTTTCATTTTATCCTTAAGACAATTATGTGAAGAAGGCAGGGCATCGCCTTCCCTTTCATAAAAGAAATCCCTATGTTATAGATGAAAGTTTTTTTGCCTAAAGCCACGCACAAATAAGTAACTGAACTGGAATTAGATTCTTCCTAGGACTCCTGCATGGCTTCAGAGATGTGAAGGCTGTTATGAAGAGGGGAAGCAGGAAAGAAACTGGGATCCTTTAGAAGTCTTTTGGAACACGTTGGAGTAGGATAGCTTGGGTGCTCCTAAAAGGAAAGGTCTAGAAAGATGACATATCAAGACTTCATGAATCCTAATTCTACACTTCCAAGTCAAACGTCTAATAGGTTGGCATACTTCATAGAAAAACATGTCAGCTGCAGCCACCAACCTGAAAAGCTAGTGAGTAGGAGTTTGTTACACCACATTTACCAGACTAGAAACGCATTTCCTACCAATGACAAATTTGGTGTGGGGCTATAGCAGTGTTGTTTTTGAAAGGATTTAATTTTCTGTGCATGTGTTTGCTTCATGTGTTCTGTTCTATTTCTAGTTACAATAATTTTATTGTAATATTTGGAATTTCTTAGACTTTCCTGGTAGAGGTGTATTGTACCAAATTTTGTAACGTAGAAAAACACTGTGTGATCTGAAATCTTATTAAATTGCAAAGGGAACATGCTGCCAGAATTACACCTTCCTGCTTATTATGTTATCTTTATTGATCACCGATAATAAATGTAGATGGGATCTGAGAGAATATTTAAAGCAAGTAGAGTCTATCAATGTTTTAAACATCATAGAAATCTTTCTATGATTCAGTTAAATTATATAAATCAAAGCAACAATTTGGATTTTTGTAAACTGCAATATTGTAACTTTCACAAAAGCAGATGGTCCAACCCCAGGAGCAGATGGTAACTTGGGCAGCTCTGTGGGGAACAGGACAGAGGAAACGACTGTTGTAACTGCCCACTAGAACAGTGGTTTCAGCTACTACAGGTCTCAGCGCTAGAGAGCAACAAGGGAGGAAAGGACTGTGTGGTCCCTATGGCTGTGCAGGTACCTTCCTCACAGAGCTGTTGCCGAGGATGGACGGTTTGGTGTGGTTCAAACCTCGTGATTTAAGAGTTTGTCAAGCAGTTATTCTTTTGAATAAAAGCAACATATCTAAAATGAAAAAGTAGGTGTTATTTCCCTGTTTCTTGCTATTGTTTGCTTTAAAACTCAGAACTCCTGAAATACCATTCCGTATAATTGTTACAATGGCTTTCATTTTCACTAATGGACATCCAATATCTCATCACATTTCTAATTAATTTTTCTGAGATATTTTTAAATTTAAAAAGTAGAAATGTTTTTGCTTTTGAGAAAAATTATTTAATCTGGGAAGTCTGTATTAATTCTGGACAGTAGGGTGGGATTGGGGTTAGAGATTAGGTCTGTTCCCTGATTCCCCACCCATTTCTTCTGAGTGTATATTTGGTAACTGAAATTGTGTATTTGATAACTGGAATGTTCTTTTCTGAGTCTGTGCCCTTATGTTTGCATCAATACTCTCCCCTTTTTCCCCCCTGCTCTTTGAAACACTAAACGTACCCCAGGCTCTTCTGGTTTGCTAAACAGCAACGCATAAACCTGGGACTGGGTCGGAATAGGAAAGGGCACTCAAGGTTGGAAGGCCCTAAGAGTTCAGTTTCCCAGGACCAGGCCAGTGGGCTTTAAGGGCTGCTGACAGGAGGTGATGCTATCACAGAGATAAAGACAACCACTGAGCTTTTGTTCTGTCAGAGCCAGACCATCTTGATGGCATCAACATTTGTTTTAAGCACTGAGTCCTTGACTGCAAGCAAATTTGTGGTGTTATCAGTCACTGTCTCCTTCATCCACCTGCATCCTCTGCCTTGTCCCATGTCCCAGAAGGGTGCATAAGAGAAGTAAACACCCCGTTAGGAAACACTGAGCGTGTCTGGACACCGTCCTTCTCTCTCAGGCTAGTGGTATAGGCTGTGGGCCATTTGAGGGGAATGTAATGGGTGACGTAGGAGAGGACTAAGGGCTCAAGATGTTTAAAACTGATACCTAACAGTTTAGATCTTAATTTGTTTAAAAACACAAATTAAAAAAAAAAACTATTTAAAAATACCTGATATTCAGGTCAAAACACTAACCCTTCTAATCAGTCTTAGAGAAAACCTCTAATTTATATCTACATGAAAATTATCTTTGTTTCACTAATCTTAGAATATTAGAGCTGTGAGGGTCTTTAGAAATTGACTAGTTTTTGTGTTTTATCTGTGAAAATCAGATCAAAGCTATGGATAGCTCCCCAGAAAAATGCATATATACACCTATATGTATAATTTGGATTCATTTTCAGGGGCTTCAAAGACCTGACCATTCATGGATTCCAAATTAAGAATTCTTCACTTAGTCCCACAGCCATACTCTACACATAAAGATAATGAGGCCCAGAGAGAATGAATGCTAAGGTATTTTTTAATAAAAATTGTTTACAGGAAAAGAAAGCATAGTAAGATAGAAATTAAAATCTAAACTGTTAGATATCGGTGAGGTTAAACATCATTTTTAGCCCTTACCTCTCTCCTACATCAAAATAAGTGGCTTATTTTTTTTCAGTGTATCAAATGAGAACAAAGTTTATCCTTCTGGAATAATTGTGACAAAATGTACCCTTTTAATGTCAATGGTTAAATTTTCTTTTTTCCTTAAAAGTGTTCTATTGGTAAATAAATTAGTTCTTGGCCTCTTAAGACTTTGAAAAACATCAAACTTCTAATTAATCTTCTTCAGTTTATCCCTATTTATTCTCTTTCCCTTAAATGGTCATACAAAGCTAAAGCATATATTCATTTTTGATATTTATTGAAGGGGTCAAATGAGCATATATCTCATTCTCTTAAAAAAGGGCAATTTTGCATCTTGTGTGACCCTTGTTTCCTTAATAGGCTGTTTTATTAAAGTAGAACAAACACCAAACATTTTATAAATCATAAGGGTCAGATGATGGGCTGGCCCAGTGTCTTGGCGGTTACGTGCGCGTGCTCTGCTGCTGGCGGCCCGGGTTCGGATCCCGGGCACGCACCGAGGCAGCGCTTGTCTGGCCATGCTGAGGCTGCGTCCCACGTACAGCAACTAGAAGGATGTGCAGCTATGACACACAACTACCTACTGGGGCTTTGGGGGAAAAAATAAATAAATAAAATTATAAAAAAAAAATAAGCGTCAGATGATGAATTATAAAGTGAACACAGTGTTTAACCAACATCAGTCAAATGACACAACATTACCACCATCCCATAACCCCTCCTTTATTGCCTCTCTCTTCAAAAGCAACCTCTTCTGGCTTTGGTTTTACCTACATTTTTTTACTCCATAAAAAAATAGAATCATATAGTATATTTTCTTTTGTGTCTGACTTCTTCAACATTATGTTGTGGGTCCATATTGTTGTGGGTCGTAGCTTCTTTATTTTGATTACTGTATAGTATTCCATTGTATGACTGTACCACAATTTATTCATTTGTGGTGGTTTCCATCAACATTTTTAAAAGGCAGACAGACATCTTTGAAAGTAAAGATGCTTCCTCGTGGTCACCCCTTGACAAGTAAAGAACAATTATTCCAGCTTTAGGAAATGTTAAGAAGAAATGGGCAAAGGAAAAAGAAGAAAAACAGACAATGGGTGTAAGTTAGTTTAGAGGAAGTAAAAATTATCTTTCTATTAATCAAATAAGTTAACTGGCAGACCACACAGTGAAAATTTAGTTTGGGGGATGTTTTACAAATAAAAATTCAACATTCAGTTTAATATATATTTTTTAATTGTATGCAATTCACTTTACCAATAAATTTACCATTTTGAAGTAAGGAAACATTAAGATTATATTCAACAAATAATAAAAATGTATATTTCATTTCAAAATTATGGTAGCTAGAAGAGAGAAAGCAGAAGAAAGGGGAGTGAAGAAGTGAACTTGGCTGAGGGAAATCCAACCAGATAACTAAATGGATTGGTCTCATTCTAAGTTAGTGATCACAGTCCTCAACAGGGCCCTGTGCACTGGCTGGTGATCTTCGCATGCTTCTCTAGTAGCTTCATTCCCAAGCTCTGAGAACTAGTTTATACTTTCTCTCTCGTCTGACATTCCCCAGTCCTACAACCCCACAGCAGATGACCCAGCTTCTTAAATCCTCCCCCGCTTCCAAGTCCTCTTTTTGTTGGAGACGTAGCTCCCCCCACTCCCTGCTTTTTTTTTTGGTGAGGAAGATTAGCCCTGAACTAACATCTGTTGCCAATCCTCCTCTTTTTACTGAGGAAGATTGGCCCTGGGCTAACATCCGTGCCCATCTTCCTCTACTTTATATGTGGGATGCCACCACAGCATGGCTTGATAAGTGGTGTGTAGGTCTGTGCCCAGGATCCGAACCCATGAATCCCACGCTGCTGAAGCAGAGTGCACAAACTTACCGGCTATGCCACCAGGCCAGCCCCAACTCCCTTCTTTTTTAAAGGCCATCTACATCTCAGTAAAAGGCACCACCATCCATCCATCTAAATACTCAAGCTCAAGTCACCCTTGATATCTTGATGCCTCTCTTTCCCATTCTCATATCCATCTATCAGCAAGCCCTGGTGTTTCTACCTCCCACATATATATCTGCTGCCACCACCTTAGTCCAAGCTACCAACATCTCCTGCGTGCCTGCAACAGCTTCTTAATTGGTCTGCTCATTTGCACGGTTGCCCCTCTAAGATAATATAATAGCCAGAATCACCTTTTACGAATGTTTATTATTAGATCATGTCGCTGCCCTGCCTAAAATGGTCAGTGGCTTCCTGCTGCACTTAAAACCCAAACCAACAACTTCCCTCCTTCAACCTCACTTCATGCCCTTCTGCCCCTGGCTCACTGGGCTCTACCACCACAGCCTCCATTCAGTTCCTAGAAAATATCGCATCTTTACTGCCTGTGCCACGAATGCTCTCCCCAGCCTCCCCACCTTCATTCTTCACATTACTAGTTTTTCCTTCTTTGGTTCTCAGGTTAAATGTTCCCTCCTCAGACAGACTATCTAACTGCCTGAGCTGAAGCAGGTTGTGACCCTCTCCTCCACCCTGTATTCACCCTTACAGCACGCTAATGTATTCTTGGCATCTTAACACAATGTTATTTTATTTATATTTTTGTTGTCTGTCTTCCCCTCACTAGAAATATAAGCTCTATGAAGAAAGATAGGGACTATTTTAGTCCTGGCATGACGCCTGCCACTATAATAGGTGGTCAATAAATAAAGGTTAATAAAAAAACGAAAGGAAAAAAAGGAAGGGAGAGAAGATGAGGAAAAGTCACTTCTTACTCCTTCACTGTTACCTCCCAGGTATAAGCCACCATCATCTTGTCACTGACTAATTGCCCCTAGGAACTCCAGGGTGGGTTTGGAAGCATTTAACTGTTTAAGAGATGCAATCACCAGCACTCTGAACCAGACTGAGCCCCACAACAGCAGGCCTATGACCTTTGCCTCATTTTTAATGCTAAGATCTCCTCTCCAGCAGGAGCTTAGGCCTTATTACCATAACCTGCAGTGTATGTGGAAGCACCTTTTCCAACTGAGCCTGCGCAAGCGAATGCCCACCTCTCCCTTTTGAATATTCATTTCCCATCTGACATAAAAGGCCCCGGCTTCCCTTTGTTAGGGGACAGCCACAACTTTGGAAATGATTCCGCGTGGCCTCCTATTTGCTGCAAAGAAGTCCTACTTTGTGTGACAACTACTTTTGGTTGAGAGTCTGACTGTAATTTCGCCAGGAGGCCAACCCACTTTTGGTTCGGTAACAATCTCTCACCTACGTTACCGCAGAAGCCTTCCTACCAGTCTCCCTGCCTCTAAGCTGCGCTCCTGTCTATACTCAACAGCAGTGATCATTTTAAAAGATTGTCTCACTTCTCTGCTTAAGAGCCTGCTCTCCATTTCACTTAGTACAAGTCAAAATCCTTACGCTAGCCTACAAGGCCCTACGTGACCTTGTCCCGTTTCCTCTGACCTTATCTCATATTTGTCCCCTCGAGCTCACTCGGCTCCAGCCACACTGCCTCTCTGCTGTTCTTTGAACAGGCCAGGGACACTGAGCCTCAGGAGTTCTGCCTCAGCCATTCCCTCTGCCTGCAAGGTTCTCCCCCAGATATCCTCAGAACTAACTCACCAACTCCAAATCTTTGCTCAGTAGTCACTTTCTCTATTAGGCCTATCCTGTTGTTAAACCACAAAATTCAACTGAGTAAATTAAAGATCAAATTGGCTTTCTTCATGATTCCCGAATCAAGCAGCATCCCATCTAGCAAATAGAAAGGAGCTCCAGGAGCTGTACAAACTGGCAGGCTTTTACATGCAGGGGGAGGAAAGAGGAAGTTTCTAATAGAGTGGATTGTTTCAGGCAAGGTCACCTTCCTCTGGGGGAAGGGCTGGGGTCTAACGTGCAGATGACCTCACTAATTCCATATTCACTGGTTAAAGGTCACATTCCTGAGAGGCTGAAACTGCATGAAGTCTTGGTTGGCTGTCATGGAGGCAATGGTTCCACTGGGCCTGTTCTTTACACTGTCCGTTGTATTTAAAATTGCAACCCCCTCACCCCACGTGGCACTTTTCACCTTATAACATGTGGTCACACAGGTTCTCGGTCTGCCTCCTCCAACCCTCATTTGAATATTAGCTCCATGAGGGCAGAAATCTTTGTCTTGCTCACTAATGTATCACTGTGCATAGAACACAGCAAGTGTTCAGTCAATATCTGTTCAATCAATTGACAAGGAAAGGATTTCAGTGAACTCTTAAGTGAAAATATGCTTTTTCAGTTCACCAACAGTATCACCTTCTGATATCTATTGCACAGCAAGCCAGAGGAAACTGCCGCCTGTCTCAATGCCTGGAAATGCTAATGAACTATTACTTGAGTATTCTGGTACAGGGATAAGGCTCTGAAACCATTTTAGACACATGGCTTCTAGGACTGGTTGATTTAACCATTTTCTGGATACTTAATTTATGTCAGACACTGCGAGCTGGCGGGGTTACAATGCTAAGTAAGACACAGTCCTTATCCTCAGCAGGATCTCAGTTCTGATGAGGAAGACAGACAAGTACACAGACATTACAATATGGTCCATAATTGTAGACAGAGGTAAGTGCAAGTTTTCATTGGAACAAGAGAGGTGCCTAAGTTGGGGAGCCTAGGAAGTGAGGGTAAGGAAAGCATTTTAGAAAAGATAACACTTAGGCCACATCTTAAGGGTGGAAAGGTCTGGGAAAGGCATTTCAGGCCAAGGGAAATAGCCTATTTAAGGAAGCCAGGAGAAATTCTGCCCTCTGTGTAAAATATAAAGCTGGAAAAAAGTTCAAGACAAGTGGAGGGAGATGACAGTGAATAAGCAGAGGTACCTGATCCTAAAGGGCTTTATGGCTCACCATAAGTTTGGATTTTATCCAGTAGAGAGGGTAGCTTCTGAAGGATGTGAGCAAGGGAGGGTCCGTTTCTGTGGAGCATAGATTGGAGAGAAGCAAACCAGGAGACAGTTACAGGCTGCTGCAAGAGTAAGAGACCATGAGAGCCTGATCAAGAACAGTGACAGGAGAGATGGAAAGGGATGAATTTAAGTATTTATTCTATAAAATCAAGCTGGTCATCAAAAGGATGTGGAGGGTGTGAAAGAAATCTAACATGACTCCAAGGTTTCGGTTAAGCAACTGAATAGTAATTCACAGGTGATAATACCGAAGGCAGAACAGATTTACATAAGAAATACAAGATTTAGGAAATCAAGGCATTTGGAGTTCAAGCAGCAGGGTGTTTAGGGTGAGAGGTGGGCAGAGGATGGAACCCTGGGGAAACATCAACATTTAACGGGGTGGGAGGATTGTGGGGAGAGGCAGAAAACGCGTTAAGAGGCCACTTTCCAGGTCTCCAGGCTCTGCTCTACACAGAGGAGAGGGGCGCGCAACCCGGAGACAAAGCCTCCCTCCGATGTGAACATCGCTGCCGCAGTTCGCGATCTCGAGCACAGCACCGGGAGATCACCACGCAACCAGCGGACTTCGGGAGCCTCAGCCCGGCAGCTGCTGGCCGCGGCCCACTGAGGGTCCCCGGAAGATTCGGTTTGGGGCGGGTGTGTGTGGCTTCTTTCATTGCTAAAACTCTGCACCCGGGCTCCTTGCAGAGCCCTGGGATACCTGAAGAGACAGGTAATGGGACGAAGGTTAGGTCTGGGAAAGGAGCCCACAAAGTTTTACAAATCATACACCATCTGTGGCGGCCCTTTTTAAATGGGCGCGATTACCCAACGATGTCAGCTTTACACTTGCGTTCTTTTAGGCAAGCAGACCATACTGTTCTCCACCCTAAACCGCCCCAGATAAATTAACCCAAGGAAACACCACGAGCGAGGAGACCGCGCATGGGCTCACACTACTCACTACTCCCCTCCCCTCCGCTCGCCTCCCTTCCCAGGCAGTTCCTTTCTTCTTTCCGGAAGCTCGGGGCCCCGCCCACTTCCGCAACGCCGAGCCCGCCGCAAGACACGCCAGGCCTCAGCCAATGGCCTGCTTCCCAGGAAACGTTACCTCTGACCTCAGGGCTAATCAGAGACAGTAGGACGAACTCCTCGCGAGAGGTGAGCTTGAAGCAGCCTCCGCCATCTTGGAGATGGGAGACGGGCGATGGCTGTGCTCCTTCTGCTAATGCAAACAACAAAACGGGCACGTTAGTTCTTCCTACGTGAGGCTATCGTCACTGTGACTGTTGACCAGGGCTACAGAAGAAGCGCAGGTGTCAAAGCCGAGCGCGGCGACACTGCTAGCTGCTTCCCTGCCTGCTGGGGCGGCAGAAGTGAAGGGACTGAGGACCGGAAGGATGGTGCAGTCCTGTTCCGCCTACGGCTGCAAGAACCGCTATGATAAGGACAAGCCCGTTTCTTTCCACAAGTAAGGACCGTGCGCGCCTCGCGGCGCCGCCGCAGCTGGGGCCGGGGGCGCGCGGCCGGTTAGACTCGGGGGCGGAGCCAGGCGCGTGTCCGCGCGAGACCTCGTGAGGGGCGGGGGCAGAGGCGGGGGCGGGGCGCGGCGCGCCCGGCGCTGCTCGGCTCTCCCGGAGCGCTGGGCGGCTCGCCGGGGTCGGAGCCCGCGCTCGGTGCCGGGGTGCGCGTTCTCGGCGCGCGTCGCCGCTGCGACCGTTTCTCGCGCTCGAGGATTGGGCCCGGGCGCCAGGGCCGCTCGCTGTCTCGGGTGGGCGGGTTCGGGGCCGCAGGCGGTGTCTGGAGGCCTCGTGGGTCGTGGGGTCTCCGGGCCGGGAGGCGTCTGAATTTCCCCACCGGGTCCGAGAGAAGCCAGGTGGTAACTCTTCAGAAGGAAGTTTAAAGCAGAAACAAAGACCTTTAACAAGACGAAGTCACACTTTTTCGCCCTTGCTGTGGATGGGAGGCAGTATCACAGCAATTAAGAATTGATTTGGGGCCAGGATTTCAGGGTGGATGTTTTTGACCCAGTTTCTAGGAACTGACCAAGGGCCTCCAAGTTTTAGAAAAAGCTTCTGGTGCTGTCGCGATGGATAGTTCTGTTTCCAGCACGCAATGATGATGAATGGACCGTAATGATAGGGACCATATTAAAGGTCAGTGTGAGCTGTTACGGCCGCACAGAGGAAGCCCTTAGAGAAGAACCTGCCCCACAGCGTTCAAGGCTGTGCTATCCAGAAGGTACTGCAGCTCGAGTCCTGGAGGGGAAAAGGTTCTCTTGAAAAGAAAACCGCCAAATGCAAATGACTTAATGATAGTCATATGTCTGCAAAATGTGACACGATGGCGTTTTCATTCAGCCAATTCAGTATTTACAAATTGTATTTACATTAAATTTTTTTTGCAAGAATTCCCGACTATAAATGGATGATAGCTAAGAAATTAGAACTAGTGGTAAAATACGTGAATTATTCATAGCTAAATAATTACAAAAGCAAAATTTTAAATACTCCTTCAGTTTTTTTGGTGGGGGCTGTTTTTGTTTAACAGAGGATGTGGGTGCATTTTTATGTTTCGTATAATAGGAGAGGGACCTTACAGAAATGAGTGTCTGGAGCATGGAGAGATCTTGAGAGTGGGGGTGAAAGACTTAACACTTAACAGGATTCAGTTCAGTGTATCTCAATATTACCTCTTGATTTATTGGAATTTCTGCAAGTTGATGAATTGACCTCCAGCACCGTCCAAGTGTAGGAACAGGTCAGGAGGTGGGGACACGACTGTGTGCTTTCAACTCCCCACCTCCCCATTTCTAATGATCTGGCAGAGGGGCTCTAAAAATACGGAAAACGCTTCATTGGCGCTAGAAACCTTCATTCACACATCAGAAATACTGAGTTCCTGCTGGCTCTTAAATGATTGAATGGAAAGAAGGGCTAAGCTGCATCTCATCCCTTATCTAAAAGAACAGTTTTTTGAGAGTAGATGGGAAAGGTCTTGACAGAACCTCTCAAACGTCCTGAACATTTGTACTCCTTGAGTCAGGAGGCCCTGGGTGCGAATGTTACCAGTGATTGCTTCCCCAGCCTGTACTTCCAGAGGCCGTTTCCAGTGGGGGTCTTCTGGGAGCACTTCTTTTCCCTCTCTGCAGTGGCGGTAGGAAGAGCTATGCCGGTCAGGGAAAAGGGAGTGTCCTAAAGGTGGCTTAGATCTTCATGACAGTCGCAGAGTCAGGTGCTAGCATACCTTACCTGGAAGAGAAACTGGAACGTAGCATCGGAACAGCCTTTGGCTACTTTCCAGTCCCCCAGCTCACTGAATCCTTGACCTGGAAAAGTAAAATCACAATAAATTTAAACTCTTCCCGCCTCCCTTTCTCTGGGCCTAACAGACATATTCCTGTAGATGACGAGGTAAATCAAGATAAATAATTTTGTTTCCTTATCATCATGATTTGATTATAACTTGATTAATTCATATTTGTCAGACTGATTCTAAGAACTAGAAACTTCTTTCTTGTATGTAGAAATAAATGCAATTTAGTTTATGGTACACAGAAGTCACTGGTTAAAAAAAAAAAATACAGAGTCACCCTATAGTGTGTATTTTACTTGAAACTTTGTGTCTTCAATATAAAAAGTTAAACATTAATAAATGAGATAACTAGATAGCAGAGCTACACAGTTTACCTGTGTGTATTTTTGTGTGTGTGTCTGAGGAAGATCAGCCCTGAGCTAACATCTGCCAATCCTCCTCTCTTTGCTGAGGAAGACTGGCCCTGGGCTAACAGCTGTGCCCATCTTCCTCCACTTTATATGGGACGCCACCACAGCATGTCCTGACAAGTGGTGCATGGGTGTGCACCTGGGTTCCCAACCCAGGCTGCTGCAGCTGAGCACGCGCACTTAACCGCTTTGCCACTGGGCCGGCCCCCCACTGCGTGCATCTGTTCACATGGCTAACTTTTAATGTGTATATTTTTACATTATGTAAATTCTTTTTTTTTTTTTTTTTAAGATTTTTATTTATTTAATTTTTCCCCCCAAAGCCCCAGTAGATAGTTGTATGTCATAGCTGCACATCCTTCTAGTTGCTGCATGTGGGACTCGGCCTCAGGATGGACGGAGAAGTGGTGCCTCGATGCGCACCCGGGATCCGAACCCGGGCCACCAGCATTGCAGCGCGCGCACTCAACCACCAAGCCACAGGGCCGGCCACATTATGTAAATTCTTAATCAGCCTGTCTTGTTTAGATGGTATACATCATTATATGTGACATTCTTGTAACTATTGTGTGATCAGTAAGATTCCTATAAGGAAAACTGCTTTTTAAAAAAGCAAAAATACCATGCCAAGAGGGGTGACATATCCCACATTAGTAGGCAGTCACTTTATTTATAGGGTCATGAAAACAAGTACATTTTTTTTTTTTAATTTTTTGTCTATTGCAGTAACATTGGTTTATAACATTGTAAAAATTTCAGGTGTACATCATTATACTTCTATTTCTGCATAGATTACATCATGTTC